TCAGGTATGACTTATTGCGACTTTATGAGCAATAGATCGGAACCCTGTCCTATCCTGTGCCATCTTCACGCTTCCTGACACCTTAGAGCCCATTGCAGCAGTCACTGTGTCAGTCCACCTGGTTGAGGACCTTCCTCTCCTTTGCCAGTGCTCCACTCTTCCAAGCATCATTTCCCTCTCCAAGAAACATGCCCAAAATAAGTGAGTCGAAGCATCATCACTCTTTCCTCCAAAGAGCAGTCCAGCTGCACCCTCCCCTTGTTTGCCCTTTTTGGCAGTCCATAGTGTGTTCAGCACTCTTCTCCAACATCACTGCTCAAAGGCATCAGTTCTTCTGTCATCCTTATTCATTGTCCAGCCCTCAGATGCATACATAGCAAGTAATCGGAAAGAATATGGCCTGAATCAGACACACTTTAGTCCTCAAGGTTGTGGGTAGTCTAGTAAAACATTGTAAAGTATGTGGCAAGACTTAACAATGGAGATAACTGCTATCTGAATAAATATTAAACTAATTTTAAAAAACTTATCCAGCAGTTAACCCTGATTATAAGAAATTATATACCATTAGAAAGAAGTGATCATTACAAAATTATTTACATCTTACATTTTTAATGTTGTATTTATTGATAGAATACATATTTGGCGCAGACTTATATTGTGTCTCACCCAATTCACTATGAGTCGTCTACGACTTGATGGCACTTAACAATAACAACGACAACATAGAGAGAGAGTTCTGTTGGCCAAGTGGATAGAAAGTTATGCTACCAAGCCAGAGTTGGGTGCTTTTAATCTGCGGCCCTCAGGCCTGGTTTTAATTGTTTTTGGTTAAACATTCTTCTAAGTGGTATAGCACTGGTCTGTCCATTTGCTGTACAGAGGCAGCTCTTGGTTGCTGTGATACTAAACATTGCGACACTAATGTATCAAATATGATAATGGTTACGAACGGTGGACAGTGTTTGATGGCGGTCCCCTATTAAAAAAAGCTTAGAAGCAGGAGTGGCATCCACATCCAAAGTAGCTTGCCTCCAGAAACTCTGTGAACTTGAAGAAACGATGAAAATTATACAAGTGTTCAGGTCTTTGGCTCATAGGGTCACCATGCGTTGTCTATGACTGACCGGTACTTGACAACAACAACATCACCCAGTTCTGTTTTATTACCTTTGGAGAAACGATGAAAGTTATACAAGTGTTCAGGTCTTTCATTCATAGGGTCCCCATGAGTTGTCTATGACTCAGTGCCACTTAACAGCAACATCATCACCCAATTCTGTTTTGTTACCTTTGGAGAAACAACGAAAGTTATACAAGTGTTCAGGGCTTTCGTTCATAGGGTCGCCATCAGTTGTCTATGATTCAGTGGCACTTAACAACAACTTCATCACCCATTCTGTTTTGTTACCTTTCTGTGAAGTCCCTATGCTATATTCTTCTTGGAGACATTTAAAGAACAAAGTTACTATTACATGTCTAACTATAAAACGTACCTGAATATTGTTATTGTTGTTGTTGTTATGTGCCATTGAGTTGCTTGCGACTCACCGCGGTCCTGTGTACAGCAACTCTGAAACCTGCTCTATCTTGAGCCAATTTTATTTTCCTGACACACCTACTCCTATTAGACCAGTCACTGACTCAATCCATCTCATCCATAGTCTTCCTCACTTTCCCTGTCACTCTAACCTTCCAATCATAATGTCCTTTTCCAAGGAATGGTGCCTCCTGGCCACGTGCCCAAAGTATATCAGAAAGAGCTTCAACATCCTTGCCTCCAAGGAGCAATCTTTTCCAACACCACAACTCAAATGTTTTTATTCTTCTTTTATCATGCTTAGTCCTTATTCAGCTCTTCAGTGATAAT